AGAATTTAACTGATGCCGTAATAAATTTTATATTTGAAGCTTGTAGTTGTATGGTACGCGTTATAGTGATAAGAAGGATCGTTACAGCTATCGTCATATTACTTTGCAGCCAACTATTTGGAGTCATGAAATGATTGTATTCAATCGTAATGATCATACAAAAAATTTAAACTGTAATGATCATACTAATAAATTCAATTGTAATGATCGTAATGATCATACTGATAAATTGTAATAATCGCATCATAACGATGAAGTGATCGTACTTCGATATGTGGATTATTGTACGGTATTTGTTGTATGTGCAATTTCTTCACATTGTGATAGATCAACAAACAAACAAATAAACAATGTATGGAAACTGAAAGGAATTTATACAGACTGTGCCGAATGAGTTTGTGAGGCGGCTGGCGCACTATGACAGTAATTTCGAAATAAATGATGGAGAGATGATAGTGAACGGTTTGAGGCGCTATACAGCGCAATATGGCGGAACTTGTCTCATCACATCACATCACACCACACACACACACACACACACACACACACACACACACACACACACATATATATATATATATATATATATACAAACACACATCCATACACACACATCACTCTTTTCAATTGATCGATTGATTTCACATGTGTTTAGCATAATTGCAACCACTTTTAGTCTATTTTCGTTGTTGAATGAAATTCATTGCAACTAGCAGTGCAGACTGATGTATATCCCTCATCAGATCATGGATAGTGTTGACGGATAGATATGAGAGCGGCAATAGTGACAGACAGATTATAGGTAATGTTGACAGACAATAACTGCACATTGGTATCCTTCTGTTACTACTCACTCCTCAATCTTCCGTAATTCAAGCTGTTTGCTTACTTAGTTAACATTTGCAGAAATGGAAATGATTAATACATTTTCACGTTTTTCATGGTAATATCATTCAAGTTTGAGAATGAGAGAAATTTTTCCTTCACTGCTATACCTCTCTTTATACTTATGCCATCCCGGGATTTCGAAGGTCAATTGTTTGTTTTTCAATATGAAGTTTTTATTGATTTGTTATTTTGATTCTCTATTTTTAATATGAATTGAAAGTTCCGAGAATTTGACTTTTTGCGTGAATAAGTTGAAATTGAGAGGAGTGAACAACCTTGAAGCATATACTATTATCACTTTCACATTTAATCGATTAGTAGCAGTTTTATAGATATGAAAGTACCAACAGTGTCGGATTTAAAATTGATTCCACAAATTTCATATTTTATAATATTACTTATAAAAATTGAAGAAATTATAAGTCCCAAGATTATGGTTCCCGCTTTGTACATTGCACAAGAAATCGAGGTAAGGTTATAGTTATTTATCTCGCAGTTGACGTGTCATTTTCTTAACGAAACATTTGCGCTACATTGTTATCATACGATATAGTAACGGGAAGAACTGAATGATGCCATGTTAAGCTTGAAAAATTTTCATTCAAATTTCAAATAATCTGTGACTAGTGCCAACCTGGCGGTGCTTAACAAGCGAGTTGTGCAACTGCCAAATAAGTCAGAATTAAAAATAAAATATTCGTTCTAATACTGTCATAACAAACACCGAAAATGTCATTTCAATACATGTAAAATTATTCCATTAATATGCATGCTTGGAAATAATTATTGAAATTCAAAAGCATTCTGTATCTTTTCGGTGATATCCAATTTCATTTGGTATTTTGTGAATAAATTTATTCAATTGTTACGCTCGCATATGTTTAGTTTCCTGTTGGTGCTAAACAAGAAGAATTTCAGATTACGCAATGATTGGCGTAATAGCACCTTATTTGTCGAAATTTTATCTCAGTTACCAATCAAATGATATCATCGATCGCCTCAATTATCAGTATACTTCACTAATTATTGCACTTACTGCCTTTACTCTTGCTGGAACACAATATGTTGGTAAACCAATTCAGGTAAATCTTTGTGCTATTCCGATAAATATTTAGCAAAAAACACATTCGGACAGCTAACATAAAATACTTCCAGGCCTGAATTGGTTTATCATATAATTTGTTAAAATTTGAAAATATTTCTAACTCACTTGTTAGAGGCAAAGTATTCCGGAACATGCTGATCACAATAAAAGCGTTGAATTTTAACACAAATCGCATTTCAGTGTTGGGTACCTGCACAATTCACTGGAGCATGGGAAAAGTAAGTTAACTGTTAGCGGCATATTTCCTATCTCCTCTTGCCTTCGTTTTTTATTCTTATCATTGTTTCTCTGCAGAAAATTCAACGCGTTTTTTTTTAAATTGTGCTTAGTATAACATATCATCATTATGTAGAAAGAGTAGGGGAAGTTTTCTGCAAGCATACTTCGAGATTGAGGTCATTGATTTGTCTCAACATATCCGTCATATATCGATCGAAAAGATTACTTTTGGTTCAACCCGAATTTACTAAAGACTATAGTGAAAATATTTTTTTATGAAAGAGGAGACAGATAAATTGACAATACTTTCTTTCAGATACGCGGAAACTTATTGTTTTATTAAGGGAAGTTATTACATACCTTTGGATAGTGAAATACCACATGAATATTCACAAAGAGATGAATCGGTTCGTATGTATATTTTTGTTGCATATGTTTGTTCAACAATAATGTTTAAATTTCTAATTTACATTCTTTTGTCTTGTGGGTAATTGATCATATTTCATTGTAATGTTTGCTGTGTACTAAAATGAATGGTTAGCTTTGCCGTCAAAAGTCATCTAATACTTCAATGATACCGCACTTCACTAACTGATATCTGCTTATTTCTAGCCTGAAGACATGTTTTAAAAATATAACTCCTCATTTGTCTTGATAAAATAACCAGTTTATTTCATCTTCTTTTAAACTAGGTAAGAAATAGCTTCTATTCCATATGAAATTAAGGGTTGATTGATTAAAAATAATATCGAAATGTTCATTTATATTAGGTTATTGGATACTATCAATGGGTACCAATCATTTTGGCATTGCAAGCATTTCTATTTTATTTACCTTCCGTTATTTGGAAAACGATGAATTCTCATGCAGGTCAACGATTGTTTATTTTCTACTTTCCTGATTTTTTTTTATGAATTTGTTTTGGCTTGTTGAAGTTGATACTGAAGAAATTAATTGGATTTTTAGATTTTATACTGATTATGGTCAAATCATTCATTGTAGGCATCAACGTGAAAGGAATTCTGAATTCAGCAGCAATGGTAAAAAAAAAATTCGACAAAAGTTCTCGACTTGCACAGGTGTACACAGTTGCAGATCATTTGCGTGATTCTTTGGATATGCAAAGAGAGCTTCGAACTGGTCTTTTTTTTTTTATTTTTGTGAGAAGCATTTCACATGCTATGGTTATCTCTTAACTGTTACGTTAGCCGTTTTATTTAAATTCAAACTGAAAATTATTATTTAGAAACACATTTTAAACTGCTTAATGTATGTGAGGCATATCAGTAAATAAGTTGTTCGTCACCAATTTTTTGATGAAAATTGTTCTCACACTATCGCTAATCATTTCGCTGAAATTTTTCAATTTTTAAGGGTCGTTTGATTGCCTCCATCTTGGCAAACGAAGTGGAGTTTATCTGATTATCTTATACCTTTTCACCAAAGTGCGCTCTTTTATATCTCTTTGATAGATAAATTGTTTTTGCAAAAGAAACAAATTTCTCAAAAATACATTATTTCTTTCTTACAGATTTTATTTCCAGTCTTCTTCATAATGGATTTTATGTTGGCACAAAAAATTTCCCATATCCAATCCCGATTCATGTCATATAAATTCTATTTTAATTTTTATAATTTAATCTTTTTTCTTATAATGACAATTTTTATAATGTAGGTGTTGTATGTGGCTAATGTGATTCTACAATTCGTCATTCTTAATGCATTCCTCGGACCGCAGTATACTTTCTGGGGTGCAGGCATTCTTTCTGATATATGGCATGGCAAGGAATGGAGTGAATCGGGGCATTTTCCTCGAGTTACAATGTGCGACTTTCACGTCAGTTATTCGTTTGCTGTTAATTGATTTTACTTCAATAAGTATGCTAAATATTCTTTTTTTGAAGCTGTTTTAAACTTATTTTATAAGCAATAAGAAAGTTGTGATGGAAAAATAATGAAAAGATGGAGCATTTTATTAAGATTAATGCAAACTTCTTTAAACTTCTTTATAAGGTTTCTATGAAATCACTCAAATAAAAATTACAAATTCAGATTCGTGTGCTGGGCAATATTCATCGTTGGACTGTGCAATGTGTCTTGATGATTAATATGTTCAATGAGAAAGTATACATTTTCTTATGGTAAATGAATATTCTTTTTTTTTTTTCCGCTGGTCTTAGAATGTCTACGATCGATATTTCTCAGATATTTACTATTAAATTAATAATGATAGGTGGTGGTTTATATTGGTTGGGACTTTGTCATTGTTATCGTTGCTGTATTACTTTTTCGCATTGATTCTTGGATCTAATCAACGGCAATTTGTGATCCGTTATCTGCGATGTGCTGGTACTATTTCGGATCTTAAAGATCCAAAAACCGAAAAACATCTTCATGAATTTATCAAAAGATTTCTGCGACCCGATGGTATCTTCATTTTGCGACTTATCGAGGTTTGGTACCCGTTTATTTATGATTTTGCACTTGGCTTTGTATTATTGAAACTTAGCTAGCTTATTACTTTTTGTAAATTAAATTCATGCTCAGGTAAAAATAAATTTGCCATTTAAATTGGTGCAGTCTAGTAAGCACGATAGATGGAGCCTATGATTTTAAGTGTTCTAGATGTTCATTGATATTCTGGTGATACGTTTTTTACAGACAAATGGCGGTGATTTATTGGTTAGTGAAATTGTTAATGTAATGTTTGGGCGCTATAAAGCTCATATGGAGGAGCAGTATGGAACGATGGCTGTGACTGATAACACACATTTGAATGGCAGTGATAATTTATTGGAACGATGATTTCCTCATTAAGGCAATTAGTTCTGCGATTGTTTGTGAATGCTCGAAAGTTTAAATATTGTCCAATTGTTATATGGTGAACCAAATAAAAAAAATTTGGAAGGAATTGAAACATATGCAATTAGTTGAGAGAAAGCTGCATTCCAATTAAGAAAGAATTCTTTGATCAGTTTCTCTTAATGGACTTCATAATATTTTTAAAACTTGAAAAATATGATCTTACAAATTATTCTTTAGGAATAATGGAAATAACATGCAATCTTTCAAATGCTATTTCTTTTCATGTCAAAATGTACTGGAGAATTGTGTTATCAAATAGAAACTAGGAATATTAGAAGCTTTCATTAGTACCGGATCCATGATTATAGGTTAATTCTATTATTTCTGCAGTTCATCCATACAAAAGTGCATCTGGTTTAGAAAATTCAATAAAGGTTCAATAATTCAGTAAGAAACTGAGCATCATTCTGATGTCGTGTTTTCAAATATTCTATCATAGAGCTAGGCTATCCACCAGAAGATATGTCATTGCAGAAGATATGTCATTAGGATATAAAGGAAAAATGTTCAAAGTACTTGATCTCAATGCATTTTGCAATATCTTTAATATCAAAATATAATATTAAAGATATTAATGATAAATATTGATAATAATGTGTCAAATATTTATCATTACACTATATTACACACATCACAAAGTAGTGATTGTAATATATCAAATATTTGTCATTACATGACTAAATTATGTGACATAAAATGTTGATGATCATTTATCAAATATTTATAATTTCACGGTATCACACAATTAAATCAGTCATCGCATAATATTAGTAATAATTTATCAAATAATTATCATTACTCGGCTAAATCACAAATCACAAAATATTGATAATAATTTATCAAATATTCATAACTGCACGATTAAATCAGATATCACAAAACAATAATAATGATTTATCAAATATTTATAAATTTCTCTGTATTACAATATTTTATGATACTCGATCAGCGTGTAATACTGTGTAGTGCTTAGTACCTTATTATTAGTATTTTGTGGTAAGTAATGATAAAGATTTGATAAATTATCAATATTTTTGCTATATGATTTAGCTGTGTAATGACAAACATTTCATACCCATCACTAATATTTCACATTACATAATTGGTCGCATTATGTATGTCGATGTATACGGATAAGTGTGTATCGGTGCGATGACCTAAAAAAGAAAAATTTTAATGGGCAATGGATGAACGTTAAATGCGTACAGTGACTGTTGACCTTCATGCAGTTGCACCGCTATAAACCCAAGTTTTCAGTTATATAAAATGTGTACTCACTCAACAAAATTTCTTTCCCGGACAAGAATCTTTATTTATTTCATTTTAATTTTAAACCTTGCTTTAATTTCATTCTATTTTACGTTAAAATTTTCAAAAATCGATCGCATGAAGAGATCATTTATAACTTTGAGCATATATAAATAAGAAATTATGGGAATTTAAATTTAAATAGTGTATTTGACAATTTATTTAAATTAATCAATGTAATCGGAAATTACATTGATTACAGAATGATTACATAGCAGATATGAACCAGCGGATATGAGATTACATAGCGGAATTTATCCGTTGAAATTCCTGCTAAATCGATCATTGGCAATAGTTTTATAGTTTTACAATGCAATTTAAGCTATTATTTAAGTCACATTCATATTCAAACATTTTGTTTCATTATGGTAATACTATCAATGCTATTTTATCAAAAATTACTGTAAATATTCGTCGTATTATTATTATATTGTCAAAAATTTCACAATTAAAGAAATGATATTTAGCTTGATTAGACAGATTTTTATTTATTTCAACGCGTACTTATCACTGATAAAATATTTCTTTATTTAATGGTTAGTAAATGAAATGAATTGTTGACAGATATAAATGAAAAAAAGTTTAAAATGTTTGTTAGGAATATAAATTCAATTAATAACAAATCCCATTTATTCATTTTAAATATTCCAATAGTTCGTTACTGTTTAAAATTGAATGGAAAAGAATAATAATAATAATAAGAAAGGATATTAAATTATATCCGATCGTTTAAACAAAATTGATTTAATTCGTTCAGTCTATTTAATTGTTAGAGAAATGTTCCTAAAAAAATGAAAAAACTTCGAAGATAAAATAAATGAAGGTAGTAATTGGTGATAGAAAATATTTATTAAAGATTATAGGATATGAATTTCTTATCTTTTCTTTCTACTCTCAAAAATATTTCGTTATTCTTATTCATCGTTTTACGTACGACTTGTGATAAATAATTGAGATTGCGTGAGTTTATATCAATTAATCGATATTGAGTAATTATTTATAATGTGTGACTCTTTGTCGAATAGTCAGTATTGAATAACTGAATAACTGATTATATAACTTTCTATCGAATATTCAGTGTCAAATGATCGATTTTCGGGACGATATTTATACACAATTAATACAATTAATCAACATTACATACTTGTAGATTAAAAAAAGATAATATGATAAAAATTTTGTTTCTACGAAAACAAAATCCAACATTTATCATTTTATGCTAATTTAAACTAATACAAAAATGATTTTCATAGAGAGAAATATTTGGGACAAACATATTTAACAAATGTTACAAATTACTTTACTACTATTTGTGTTATGTGTTGGAATCAATGGCGATAATATCAATGATTGCACAAAATACAAGGATTGCGTTTCATGCGTTAAATCACGTCGTCTTTTACCGGAATTTCAGCGATATTGCGGGTATGAATTATATTTTGATTTTTCATTTCTTATTTTTTGGGAAAAAGAAAGCTATAATTTTTGATAACAAAGAAAAGATGTCATCAATAATATTAATAATTCATATCAGTAATTTAATTATTTGTTTATCTAAAATAAAATATCATCTTGCATTTATTGATTTTAAATTCTTCAATCTTTGATAATATTCGTTATTTTGTTTTCAACTTAATTCAAGCTTATATAACAATAATTTTTGACAACGCCATGATCTTCCCTAATCAATATTATAAGATATTCGGGTAAGTTTATCAGAGATGAATTCATCATATATTATTATATTTGTACCTACAAAGTTTTCATCAATCAATTTTTCTTCCATTCGAAATTTTCAGATGGCATACTGATAAATCATCGTGTGGTGAACCATTTGCTATTATAGCAGGTAGCAATGTAGTCGTACGTGAACCATTCATGTGTCCTGAAAATGAACCAATTGCTAAGAAGTATCGTTATACTGATAAACTTGGCCGATTATTATATGGTCTTATATTAGCCGTTCGAAATGAAGCTCCTACAAAATGTCTTGCTAATAGTCATCCTGATGTACAGTAAGAATATCACTTCTTTCTTCTATCTTATAATTCAATCTATACAATGCAATACAATATCATTATAAACAATTTATAATGTTGTGGATAATTTCATATCAAAATTCATAATTTATTTTTGAATAAATTTTATAATATCTTAATTAATTAAATAATTTACTCATTAAGATTGATAAAGCGTTATGAGGTGGAATGTGATCAATCACATAATCTTTGTGCTGCAATGCTTGCTATTTCAAAACCTGATAAGAGGATTTATATTGTGTATAAATCAATTAATATGGACAAGCAATTAATTGCCGAGGTATTATTTTACTTCTATTCTTTACATTTTGTTTTGTAACAAAAATATTTCAATTACTGATAACTTTTATCAATTCTTAAAATATTCTTATTATCAAGTTTATTTGAAATTATCAAAAGATAAATTAATTGTCTACGACAGGTAAATTAATTTATTACCAAAAGGAAAAAATAAATAAAAAAAAAGAATAACTTTAGCTGCTTAAAATACAATATAAATAAAATATAGTAAATGCTTCAATTTCTCATAATTTAAATAAACATTAACATAATATTCTGTCGTTGAAAATGATGAATTGATAAGCTTTAACAAATTTGTTTATCTTTCTTAAATTTTTTTTGAATTATTTTTCCTAATAATTTATACTAATTGAAATTCTACCAATCATTTCTGTGTGAATTTAGCATTTTTCAAAATTTTTTGATGTCATCAATAAAATAAGATAATTTACCTGTCGTAGATAATTAAAAAAATACTGATTACGATTCAGACTATTATTATTATTGTTTTTAATAAATAAATGAAATCATTTTATAGTTCATACATATCATCGCAGCGCAATTGGGTGTATGGGAGAAATTCGAAGCAGGTGGTGGCGTGTTAACCTATTTTCATGCCGCATTCGAACGACTCTTTAAAAGAAGTGGCATGAAAAATGACCTCATTAAGCTGAAGGAAACATATCCTAACTATGAAGTTTGGGTATATTTTAAATACTCTATCTTTAATTATTCATTACTAAAATGATTAATATAATAATAACAATAATAATAATAATAATAATAAATAAAAAATAATAAATAATAAATAATAAATAATAATAGTATGGAAACGAATAAACAATAGAAGTCAACAATTTAAATAAAGATTTATTATTATCCGTCATTCTATGCAGGTATTAATATATGTATGGATTGGAATTAATTAATGATATGGTTAATTAAAACATTTGTTTAAGTTATCTCCTAATTTTTCCATTTTAAAGCTTTTCAAAAAATGATTATTTAATTAATTATTATTGATTAATTATTTTTTTTGAAATATTTCAGTGCACAGGTCATTCATTGGGAGCATCATTATCATCAATGACTGCATTATATCTTGTGAAAAACAAAGTATTTCCTGCTAAATTAGTCCGTCTTGTGACATTTGGTGAGCCAAGAACGGGTAATGTAGCATTTGCTCAAGCTGTCGAAGAAAATGTTAAAGTTCGCTATAGGGTAGTTCATCGAGGTGATCCGGTAAGTTCATTTTATTCATTTAAGACTAATATTATTGTATAACAGATGGATAATTTATTACCGTATGATATGAAATGATATTTATTAAGTAATTCTTTTTACCACTTTTAACGAAATAAATCATATTCATTTTCTCCCTTTCATATGTTGAAAATCTGGAAAAGAATTTTCAAAAAAATTTCAATTATTTTAGTTTTTTTAATAAATCTCAATTTTAGTATTTTATTAAACTTTTGCCTTTTTCTCTTTTAATTTCATAAATAAACGATTTGAAAAATATTGCTTCCAGATAACAAATATGCCTGCATTATTAAATCCATTTGCATTATTATTATCATCAACAGTTGCAGAACGACAACCATATTTTTATCGTTATCTAATTTTTTATGATAATGATATGAACGAGGGTAGCACATTCAGCGTAAGTTTCAATCAAATTTAATAATAAATCTTTTACAAATGTAAAGAAAAGACAATTTAGTACTTTAAACCAATACACCGATAATTTTTGTTTATTACAATGTTATTATGTTTTATTATTTATTTATTATTATATTAGGTTTTATTGCTTATTTATTATTATTATGTTATTATGTTTTATTGTTTTTTTATTATTATGTTATTATGTTTTAATGTTTATTTATTATTATGTTATTATGTTTCATTGTTTATTTATTATTATGTTATTATGTTTTATTGTTTTTTTATTATTATGTTATTATGTTTTATTGTTTATTTATTATTATGTTATTATGTTTTATTGTTTTTTTATTATTATGTTATTATGTTTTATTGTTTATTTATTATTATGTTATTATGTTTTATTGTTTTTTTATTATTATGTTATTATGTTTTATTGTTTATTTATTATTATGTTATTATGTTTTATTGTTT